TGCATATAACAAGTGTGTGTGTTTTAGTGTTTGTGTGCGTGCGTGCGAGTAGACTGGACTGTGGTGTTGTGTTTAAACAGCTCTACATATGCGCCCGACAACGATATACAATCGTAATGCGACGACAAACGATCAATTGACTCTAGACGCGAGCGGGGTCAATAGTTTTTAAAAAGGATCAATTTAACATCTCGCGCTATGTAAGACAAAAAAAAAAAAAATTGAAATGATTGGACAGACGCACGCAATGTGCGACCGGAAAAAAAAGTATAAACAATGTAATGAAAAGGAAATTTAACGGAACGTAAACACGCTGGAGACGAGTTTTGAAGAAATGTTTTGTTCGATTGTCCGTGTGGTGGCACAAGAAGAATCACAAACATACCTGCACATGGTATGCCATAGACGAGCGATATAAGTGAACGACTAATAGAATACGTCTTGTAAGTATGCGTGTAGGTACCTATGTATGTATGTATGTATATCTGTACCTTTGTATGCATGTAAGAACGCAGGGGAGAATCAAAGGGGGGGAAACAATAGGAGCTGGTGGTCCAGGCGATAGGGGAGGCAAAGTAGTCGAAAATAATATTATCGTAATGTAATAAAAATAAAATATTTAGTAGAATAAAATAATATTAATTATTTTAGTTTACGAATTTTCTATATCTCTTTTCGGAATATCTAAAATTGTATTTAATCTAATATTAGGACTATTAGGTACTTAGTGGTCTTATGGACCTTGTTTTCATACCTACTTGTTGTTTTTATATTACCACTACATAATATATTGACATAGCGCCAGGCTGCCAGCATACAATTTATTATTATGTACCTACTACTACGACTCTGTAGTTTATTGTTCGATTATACTTTAAAATTGTTTAAACTTTTAACATAGATTTTATCGTTATAATAATAGAATATCTTGACGGTTAGTGACCAGTGAGTAGTGTTGTACACTTGTACAGTTTTGTTTGTGAATTTGTGTGTTATTATATAACTATAATACAATATTTTTTTCAAAATGTAATGATTTGTATAAATCGTGTCTGGTTCATATATTTCTATATATATTATAAAAGACAATATGCGTAGCTAGACTATAGATGACTGATAAGCGAACATATAGTTTTTTTGTGAGTAAAGTGTATGCGTAAAACGTCTGTTCGAGCGTAGCGATAACGTTTTTTTTTTTGTTTATTTACTTATATAAAATAGCGTATACTGAATATTAGGCGAGTCATATTTATGTTTGCTCCCCCATACATTTTCCCTTAATACGGTCCTGTATGTATGTATGTATTTATGTATGTATGTATGTATGTATGTATGTATGTATGTATGTATGTATGTATGTATGTATGTATGTATGTATGTGCCACAATACATGTATGTGTGTGTGTGTGTGTGTGTGTGTGTGTGTTTGAGATTTTACATTTTTAGATTCTTTATTTAGTGCAAAATAAAGTAAACAAAAATAAAATAAACATCATACTGTATGCCATGGTGCAGTATAATATAAAATATAAAAAGATAACTGTAAAAATCACTGGCTGCTCAAAACAACTTTGAATTTAATCTCAAAATTCAAAACTGAACAGTTTCTTTATTTTTCATTATTTTATTAAAACTAAGACAATATGTCCGTAAAAACATAAAATAAATTGTTGGGTTAAAATGATACGGTTTTTTACTATCACCATTATAATATTCCCTTGATCTGATATACGATGGTTCAATTAAATTTATAATATTTTAATTTCTATATTTTTCCACACTTTTAGTTGATGCCTACTAATATTCTACTGCAATAAATCATAATTCATAATAGCCTATGTAGTTGAGTAGGTAATAAAAACTACTATCGTTTCTTACAGACGATTTGAGCTATACAAAATTAAATGTATGCTAAAATAATAATTATGATATCAATTCAGAACAATATTGTGATAAAAATCACCAAAATGTTCGACTAATCGTTGTTTATATAATATAATTTATGAGAATGGTAATTTTGATTCTCACCTGTCATGATTGCGTCTACATATTAAATGAGGTTATATCAATGTAGATATACTTAGTATCTATATCTTCGTATATCATATTTATATATGTAATAATTTTAAAATATTCGTACAATGTGTGATTATATTTAACTCGAAATTTTGAACTGCTCCAAATGTTTTTTATTTTTTTTTTATCTCCAAATCACATAAATCAAACAGATAAGACGGGGCGTGTGGTTTTATTCTTCATAATTTATTAGGTAATGGATCTTTACACGTTTCGTATAGGCCAGAAACTATATCGATCGAATGTCAGCCTTACCGTATACTCAAATACCTACTACCATTTTAATAACGCCATATTTCTTTAGTATAAAACGTATAGAAATATAAATGCCTAGTTTCATATTTTATGTCCTGGCTGCATTTTAGTATGACGACTGTGCAAGCACCTATTATAGTGACGTCAAATTATTTTCTTTATGTCTATGCGGCTATGAAACGCACCTTATTACGTTGGCTTTTACTTGAATAAAAGTTTCAAAAAAAAAAAAGATCTAAATTTGGGAAATATTATTTAAGAAATACTCAAAATGAATTTGTTGTACTCTAATAAATCTTAGTCGAAGTAAGGACCCATATACCTGATATTAAATTCACATAAAACACTTTATATAATACATGACGTTAATTTAAATTATATATTAATCCATTCCGGCTGTTATTACCATGTTTACACATGGTGAGAACATCTAAATTATTGAAACAAAATTAACCAAAAATGCAGTGGCTGTGTATAATATGTGTAATATGCAGATTATTGTTACTGCAGTATTTAAATTTTAAGCCCTTATAGATTGTAATTAATATTAAACATAAGTTAATATTGAATATCACAATATCAAAACATTTACCTCAGTAGATACTTTCAATGAATTTAAATATTTTACATAACCTACGTATCATTATGACTTAAAATTCTCCATAAACTTAAAACATTATCAAATTGTTTAAACAATATTTTTCAATTATTAATCATGTTTTATATTAAAATAGTCGTTTCCCAAAGTAAGTGAGTATTAGTTATTTAATTTATTGTTATGTTTATAACTTTGTGTTAGTTCATTGATGTAAAATAAATCTACGAAATTATCCATTTTCGATTAAATATAATTACTCTTGCAAAGTTTAATTTGAATAATGTGTTGTGGTTGATGAACATAGTGAATTATATTTAACAGGTTATATTTTTACACTATGGAAATATGTTGCTTACAAAAATATTACTTTCTTCAATTTTATTATTTTTCTCAGTAGCATATTGCAAAATCCTCATTGTTTTTGGTTAAGCTCGTCTAGAAATATTGTTGTATGTCAAAAATATGGAAATACTATTTTTATGTACATATTATAATGATAATAATAACAGTGCTAAGATATTACAAATAATAAGCTCAGTGTGTTTCATAGATTTGAACTTCATAGATACTCATTGGACAACTTTTCTCAGAACCTCAGTACAAATGTTGCAGTGATAATATAATTTTCTTTAAAATGTATCAAAATAGTTGTTACTATCCAATAATATACTTAGATAAAACATTAAAAATATGAATAATACAACATTTTGTAGTAAGGTATTCCTTAATATTTCGATACAATTTATTCTTTATTTCAAAAAATTATGAACAAAATTGTTGATTACAAATAATACTTAAATTAAGCCCTGCGGTATGGAAGATTCAGCAAACTCATATTCACACAATGACAATATCGATGATTTTTCATCGTTTTGGTATTATCTAAGGCAGAGGTTCCCAAACTTTTGTTGAACGTTCCACTCATGTATATTAAGAATCGGTCACCAGTTACCATACGTACTATTAATGACTAAAAATGGGTTAATTGAGTAACGTTTTGCTTTACATTTGGTGTCTAGAGAGTCCAAAGTCACTGTAATGGATGTGTACAGTTTGAATTCAATGATAAAAATAATTATATACGAAAAACAATTCTGAGCGAAGACTCTCTGTCAACCCATAATATTACTAATTAGGTATATTTTATAATATTATTGTGAATTGCGATTAAAGTAATTTATTTGACTATTAGGCATTTGTATTACAGTAAGTTAAACTAATTTGTGGGTACCTAGGTGTAAGTCTTATAATGCTTACTGGTAAAAATAAATGAAAATAAAGTTTTAAAGTATCTTCAATTTTAATTTTAAAAAAATTACTAAAGTTTAATGAGAAAGATGAAATTGCAAGTTTGAAATTAGCAAGAAAATGCCATGTTTAGTTGTACTTAATGTACTGCTAGTTGTGTGTTACTGCTTAATTAAGTATTTTCCATGATTTAGAATAACAGTTATGAAACGTACAATAATATTAATAATAATTTACTCAAAATATAAAATATTATTCTATTCAACAACAAAGTTAGTAAATAAAAAAAAAAAACCATTTATTTTCCATATTATCCTGTAGAAGTATGTGGCCTTCCACGTACCACCATGTTCATTTTTACATATTATAGTTTGGGAACCTCTGATATATGAAAACTATTATTTATAAAAGTTTTAATCCTGTGAAATAGTAAAATGTTAAAGCCACAAATTGTATTGCTCTACTAAATAAATACGTGCTATAATTTCTGAACATAAAAGTATCGTAAATAATACAATCGTACACTAATTAAAATGCAAATTATATAAACCATGGCAAGGATAATCTATATTAAAATTAAAAAAAAAAAAAAAAACAAAAAAAACAAACTAGAAAACATTCCATAAATAATATAAATTAAAACCACAAAACAAATGAACTAATTATAGTCTAAGCTGATCTACTGTAGTAAACTAAGTACTCTAAACAATTAAGTAATTATTACAATAATAAAATAATTCCACAAAAGGTTTTGATTTTTTTTCACTAGTTTTTACTTTTTAAATGACTACATATTTTTTCTTTACTAGAATTGTCTACCTACCATATTCTGTATCGTCATCTGATGGTAAGCCAGTGGCTTTCATTTCTTCATCAGAAATGTCTAGTTTGTCAGTTGAAGCATCCATTTGTTCGATATCTGTCGGAGGATCCGGCAAATCAAATGAATACTCTGGTGCCAGAGTATGTTCATCTGATTCGTAGATCTTGGGTGGTGGCGGCCATGATGTTTCCGTTGGACCCTGTAACATGTTCGGTTATTGGTAACAAGGACAAAATGATTAAAACAATACTCAAATATTAGAATATCCAAATATTGTTTATTATATTGTGCATAGTATACTCAATACCATTATTTTATTATCTTATTGGATGATAAACATTTATAATCCAAGGATTATTAATATAAAACATACAACCTCCTGCACCGAATAATAATTACCATAGGTATTTACAACATTCCCAGTTACTTTTATTGAATTATTAGCGAGTTAACAAAAAAGTGCCTAATTTAAGACTAACTCAAGAAATATCAAATTAATGTAATTAACATAACATTAAAGACAAACGTTGAGTAACACAAGTATATAAATACCATATTAGGTTCTTGTTTTAGAATAAAAGCAATACAATATAAAAAAATTAAATCTTGAAATAACATTGTAGGTTATCTAGTGAATATATTCATTACTCATTAAAAATATATCGTTTTTGATAAGTTAATTCAATTAATTCCATGTACCTATTTCCGTGTAACGTTGATTGATAACAAATTATTTGTTGGATTTCAGTTATAAAATAAAGGTTTAATTTTAATTTAATAACTTAGGATAAATACATACGACCATCGATCAATAACTGTATTTTGTTTTATCTTTTCGTACTCAACCATAATATATTAATATACATTTATTGTGATTGATCTTTTTTTTTCCATGAAACATTTTTTATTTGTAAAAGAATACTATCATTATTAATATTAATATTATTATTATTAGGTATTATTATTAATATAACTTTTACTATAGCCCAAAAAATTCGGTAACATTAAAAATGTTATAAAACTAAATACTTTTACATATTTATGTATTTAATTGGATTTTAGACTATTTTTTTGCTTATTGTATGCTTTGGAAGGAGAGTTCTAAAAGCTTATGGTATAGCGGTAATTTCATTAATGGATCAATGTATTATGAGTTATACCGCGATAAAGGTTAAATGACTTGACTCTGGTAGTTCAATCATTCTTAAGTGACGTGTTCCTTATAGTGAATATTTATGATAATGAAGCATAAATGTTTTTAAAGTGCCAAATGATTTAACACCGAAGATATTATGGTATACTTTATTCGAAACTGCTAATAATATGTCTGCCACTTAATGCCCTCCCATGTTTAGTTTGATGATTATAAAACTACATAATATATATCTATCTAATTATTATATATTCAATTTTAAGAATATTTCCTTAAGTTGATGGTTACTGGAATATAGAAAAAATCGGTATTTTATTCTTGAATAAATAATTCTAGTTTTAAGTTATTTCATAATTTTTTTCGAATATTTTACGAATATGACGTTTACTTTGGATAACTAAAATAACATAAAAGTCAATTAATGTCAACGATTTTTAACTTTAAGATTCTGAGAAGAGGGACATAGGTATTACAATGTATGTTATTATTATTTTTGAGTAGGTTTGCGCATTTTTGATCAGTAAAAATTACATTTTCAACTAGCAGGGTAGATTTTGGTAGGAAATTGGATATCTTAGATAGTTTTGATAAATAAATTGTTACTGTTAAATTAATGGTAATGGATAGTGAATTTTCACAAAATAATTGTATGACCATTTTCTTTTTAAATATGGTATAGCTTTTAAATAGTTTTGAATCTTTTTAAATATTTATATATATTTTACATCTTCTGCTTATATTTTTTTTTCCAATTTTTGTTAATAAACTATATTTTTAAGTTAGTCTATAGCTTGAACAATTTAAAAAAGATTTATCATAGGATATTTTTACAACAGTTAATAACGATTGAAATTTCAATATACATTGATACATATACACATATTGACGAATTTCAAACAAATATTGATTGTAGAAACATGAAATATTCCACTATTTCTTAAATTATAATTTTCTACAAACAATAATAATTTAAAAAATATTTAGACTAATTTCAAGCTATTAATAAAAAATTTCAATTTTCTAATATTTTGAAAAGATTTTTTTTTATGAATTATGATAAAAAATGATTTTTAGGTAATTATTACATTGGTGAGTAACTCTCACCAGTTAACCACTCACTTTCTAATAAAAACTAAAACACAAATATAACAAGCATAACAATTAATTCATACTAATTTTGTTTCATATGGATTATGATCAGTAAATAAATATAATAATATTATATTATTGCATTGATATTATATTTGGAGGCGTAGAAATTATGACATCAATCTCAAATGTTTTATTCAAAAGTTGTTTTATTTTAAAAGTCATTACTGACTTACAGAACTTATATTGTTACAAAAGAGACAATTTCCAGGAATGTTTCTATAAACCTACACTAATAAAATAAAACAAGGGTGGATATTTTTCCTGAAAATATTATGGTTTCACAATAATATTATGGTCAAGACTTCAAAATAATACTTCCTTGGAAAACACACAATTTATGTACCCTTATTGGAAACTTATTGACTGAAAAATGTTAATTTATAATTCAAGTCTAATATCATATAGGTAGTTTATATCATATAATTGTATTTATTTCTGCTGTACCATCACATAAAAAAACATATCAACGTCATGATAACATAAAAATGCCTGTTTTAAATAATGTACTATGGTATTTAACGAATTATCTTGAAAAAAATAAATAACATTCATACAATCTGTAGTTTATTTAAGTAAAAATATTTTGAAGGAAACTAAAGAAGGAGTATTTTTTGCTATACAAACTATTTAATACATTAAACAATTCATTATATAGTTAAAAATTAAAACTCCTAAGTACCTATAATCTATATAATGCAATATTATACTATTTATAAGTCAATTCATTAACTAAATATTTAAAGAATGGATTTTATGCTTTTTAAATGGTAAATTTTAATTCGTGCACCTACTGAACGTAAAAAGAAATGTATTTTACTAATTAAAAATATTATTTTAAGCCGATTATAAATTGAATTTAACTTATTGATCTCAAAAACATTTATAGAAAAATAAATTTAAAACTAACTCAACTGAGCCGAGTCATTTACTAACTATTATTTTTCTCTAGTTACTTTCTTTTTTATTAATTGTATTTTTAGATATTAATTATTGTTTTTTATTTATAAATTAAATTAAATTAATTTTATATTCATTAAATGATTTAGAACTAACATGTTGAAACAGTAAATTCAATTAAGTGACTAACAAGTAATAACATATGAATAATATATACAAACTGTAACACCGTTAATCAAAAAAAATTTAGTCAAAACAAATGCCAAAATAATTAAACATTGTAAAAAAAATTTTGCCCATTTTTTGTTTGGTGAAACAAATGAGTTAATGAAATCGACAAAATATTATTAATTTCACTTAATTTTACAGGAAAGCTTTTATTCAAACTAAAATCACATATTATAATAGTTTCAGATATTTTTCCAAGCGAAAGATACAAGTATTTAATATATCTTTTATGATTATATATCTAAGTACTATCTATAGTAATTGTTTAAAATGTTTATGGCAAAATTTAATACTATTAAATTAATTAATACTTATTATCCATGTATTGTTTATAAGGTACACTTGCAATTGCATATTATCCTTTTGTACTATTTGTATGAGTTCACTTCTATTAAAACTAATTTCTTTTTATCATATTCGCTCAATCTGAGTTTTTTTCTGTTCTCCTCTATCCGACCCAGACTCAAATATCGTGCACTAATTTTCACTTCAAATACGAATACAATTAACTAGAAACACATTTAAAAAATTGCCTAACACTTCGTCGTCCTCAAAACTTAATCACTGCGTCATCTTATACGTCCCCCGCTTCACACACACACAGAAACATAAAGTAGTCGAATAAATTCACACTCAACGAATAATATAATATATTTTTTCCCCATAGTAAGATTATACACACCATAGCACATAAAATTCATAATTAACCGTCTATCAGTTTATTTTCTATAATACGTGACGTAATATTCATACGACTCACCAAGTCCACCGGATATTGACATGGTATTGGTGGCAGTGAAAATTCACTGCTAGCGTTATCTGTGTGTTCTGACTGATCTCTATCTTTGAGAGAGCTAGTCAAGGTTGAAGCGCTGTTACGCTTATTCAGTCCTCTTACTATGGCCGCGGTCTTCTCCACGGCCTGTTCGCATATACGGTTCACAGCCTCCCGCACGCTGTGGATCATGGTCAGACGGAATTCAGTTTCCGATTCCGGTTCCTGTTTTTTCAAATCACTGGAACTATCGGTGTTGGAACCGTCATGTCCCTGGTTCTTTACAGGAGCCTCTTGGACGTCGTTTTGATTTTTGTTATCGACTGCTTGTACGTTTACAAGCTCTTTTTCGGGTTTGGGGACTGGTTGAACCTCATTGGGTACATCGATTGGATCTGTTGTCTCTATAGCAGCTGCCGCGTCCGGCTTATGGTCTTCCGCTTGGTTGTTTGAATTTTCTAACGAATCCGGTTTGTCAACAGCGCGTGGCATGATCGTGTCGCATTCAAGTGCAACTGGTATAATTTTTTTTACTTGATCATCATCTTTACGTTCGGTTATTTTTGTTGAAGTTTCATTACCCTTGTTATCATACGGCAACGATGACCCTCTATGAACACCATGTGGTCTCTCGGTCATTTCTATTTCAACTTCTGTTGCAGTGGATGGTACTTCCCTAGATGGGAGGCCTGTAAACAGAGAAAACAATACAATAATTAGATAATAGAAAATATCACACTAACGGACTAACGTGTAGGTTACAGTTTCAGAAAGAACAAATTATAGTTAAAATGTGTAAAATGTCTACTTATTCATCAAATTCAAACAAAAAAAGTTAATGTTTATATCGTTCATAACCTACACCAATTACTTTTATCATTTTTTTTATTTTTCCCCCTTATATGTCCTTAATATCTTCAATATAGCTTCATATTTTACACGAATTGGTATTTTGGTCACTAACTTAATTTTATTTCAATCACGTTATTTTTTTCTTAATCCA